AATACACACTTGAACTGTGAAGTGCTCTGAGTTCTCTTTGTCAAATGGATTCTGATTGGTGTTGCATGATGTTACTTAACCATTGATAAATTATTTACAGTCTACGGTTATATAGACCCCACTGCTACCAAAAGAATAAGTTTTTTTAAAAATCCTGATTTTAGAAGATTATCCTGAGATACTATGATTATCATTCTGGTACAAGACAATGGGGCTTTTCATAAAATGTGGAAGAGGTGCACACAAAATAGAAAATTGAGCTTTAGGCTGAACTATTCTAATTAGTTCATCGTTCGGCTAAACTGAACCCTGGAACTTTTTGGTTGTTGTAGGTTTGTCCAAGACAAATTTCAGAAGGATGTTGTGAGTCAAGTAAGATTGTTGTTCATTTCCACTCTATTATGACCAGGAAATTATTTTCACTTGCCCGTTATTTGGCAATGGGTTGATCTGATATCTTCTTGTGAGTATGTGAGAATGTACTCTCACATCGCTCACCCATTTTCCCAGAAACCATAATGTGTTATTTCCCCTTAACGTCCCTTAGTTGTGTTCTCCCAATGGTATTTTTCTCACAGTCTTCTGCTAGGAAACATCCCCAGATCTGCCCATTTTGATCTGTGTGCAGATAACTTAAACCTGACTATTTCATGCATGAACTATTTATTTTGAATACACCTAAAAATCACTTATAAGTGCCAGCCAAGCACAGGATGCAATATTTTAAATAAGCTACTTTTTACATCAATTTACATAACACTTTTTGGTCATTGCAACCATCCGTCAAGCTTTACAACTGTTTTTATTTACATTTTCCAATATCTTTATAATTGTGTTAACACTTGTTTTCTCTTATAATGCAGTAATCTGCATAAAATTTATGTTAGCCAAGTTGAAATCTTGATGAACTAAAAGTTATATGGGAAAATTGATAGGATTTTTATTGGTGGAGAGGGAACAATCTTTCTCAGTGCAAGGAGCATGAGTAGGATATTTTAAAGCTCCTAATGACATTCTAGAAGGTGTAATTTTATGTGAACTTCATAAATCTGATTTGTAATCTAAAGCAGTGGTCCTCAACTTTCCGTCTTGGACCAGCGGCAGGGGGGGAGGGGATGGTTTTGTGTGAGCGGCAGGCGCATGCATGAGCGTGCACAACTCCATGAAACTTTGCACACAGAAATTGAGCTCCGTGTGCACGCATGCTTGCCCGCTGTTTGCACAGCCTGATTCTGAATAGGTTGTGGCCCGATAGTGCCCCAAGGGTTGGAGACCCCTGATCTAAAGTACAACAGCCTAATGACTCAGCTACAGTCCTAAAAAAGTTCTCCACAATTTAGCGATTGCAGTAAGCCAACATAATAAGCAATCTTATATCTTACATAAAAAGTCAGAAATTTGGACATATGGAAGTGTGGCCTTGCAATAAGTGGCTTTGCTGAGAGTGAGTGGAAGGAACTGGAAAAATGTACATGATTTACTTATATTTTGATTTTAAGTTAATTATTTATATTTTACAGTCACCCACGTCCTGGTCACCTCCCATTATTGTAAATCACTCTACATGGATCTGCCTTTGAAGAGCATCCAGATGCTTCACTTGGCTCAAAATGCAGCAGCCCTCATAGTTTTGTGCAAGTCCAAATTTTCATGTGTCATTGTGAAAGCTGCACTTGGTTGCCAATTTGCTTCTGGGTGCAATTCAAGGTACTGATTATCACCTTTAAAGCCCTAAACGGCTTGTGACCCAGTTATTTGATGAACCACCTCTCCCCAATACCTGGCCCACTAGAATAGAAGGCAGGACATATTGCAGGTCCCAATTATCAAGGAAGTATATCAGATGTGAGCTCAAAAAAAGGGCCTTCTCGTATGACTCCCGCCATTGGAACGTCATTCTTTCAGGGATAAGATTGGCGCCCACCTTATTTTTCCACAATGCCTTGAAGACATGGTTTTGTCAGTGGGTTTGGGAGCCTCACTCGGAGCTGATCAAGTGACTTGTCTGATTCTGTTACTGCTATGGGGTGTGATGGGGGGTAGTGCCTGGAGTTACTGTATATGAGTTGGGTAGCTATATAAATTTAATAAATAAATATTATAGGCAAACAAAATAGTCCTTAATTGGCGAACAAGAATACTAGTGCTGATACTTAAAGCTTGAGATAGCTGTGAAAAAATGCTTATAGCAATAACTAATACATTGCATTTCTGTTTCAGGATGAGAAATATATTCATATTGACGAAAGTGAAATGAATAAAGTAGAGAAGTGTATCAGTGACGCAACAGAATGGCTAAACAACATTATAAATATCCAAGCTAAACAAAGTCTTGATCAGGATCCTGTTATTCGTGTAAATGAAATCAAAGGAAAGCTGAGTGTAAGTTTTAATTACGATGCAGATTTAAATTCCTTGTAATGACATATGTTTCTTATGATTCATTTTTCTGGTCACATCTAATTTAAATCTGGTCTGAGTAAAAAAAAAGAAACAGCATAACAAATGTAGATCTGTATCATAACAAATGTAACAGTATTGCATAGAGTTAAATAGTTCCATTGTCTCTCATCATTTCTTATATAACTATTGCATGCCAAAATGAGAAAAAAAATTGAGCAAGATAAAAATCAGTAATGTCTGGTATTATTATTTATTTATTAAATTCCTACATTTATGTATTGTAATTTCTTCAGTTACTGAGAATTGTAGGGCTCCTGCATTTCTTAGTAAACATACTTGTACTGTAAATAATTTTGGCCTTACTTTCAGAGTCATCACATCTAATTCAAACCTAAATAAAAGCAAAACGTTTGCTTTTTGGACTCACAATGGGAGTTGCATTATGTCACTCTTGTAATGTTTCTCTCTTGTAGGAAATACACAGTTTATGTGAGCCTATCGTTAACCAGCCAAAGCCACAAGTAGATTCTCCTAAACAGGAAGAGCCACCAGGTACACCTTTCATTAACAAAACCGAAGAATTAGAAGAAGAAATAAAAAATATTGAGACCACACAACAAAATGGTGATTGCCACGTGAATGAAAGCCCAGTTAGCATGGACTTGGACTAGGCTGTTGCATTTCAATGAGCAATTTCATTGTGGGGAAATGTATTATGTGATATTAGGGAAGATATGTTTGGGGAGTTATTTATATTTTGGAATTCTGTTGTATTATGTGGGGAATGAATATATTGACAAGCTAGAAGTGGAAATCATGATAATTTTAAAAAGAAAATTGCCTTGGTAACTTTCAGATTCCTGTGGAATTGTGAACACTGACTAAAATCTTCTGTGCAGGAATTTAACCCTTTGTATCAATTAAGGCTAAAGAATCTTGAAATTGTTGCAAAAGGCACTGCTCCTTTGAAATGAGTGCACTTAGAGCTTTTGTAGATGCCAAGGTAGTTTTTCTTTTGTCTCCAATTTTGTTATGTTTCTTCCATTGGAAAGGCATTCAGTCAAAAACAAAATGAAAGCCAAGCTTTAAAAAGTTATTTCTATCATTGTCAGAAACATTTGCTAGAAGAGGAGAACAAGTATGTGAAGCAGCATGCACCATTGCTTACATTTCACTTTCGTGTGTGGAAAACCAGATGAAGGTAATACATGGGTTTTGTTGTTGGTTCCTGTGATGCCTTTAGTGAGCTTTAATAAAGTTCATTGAAATGGTTATGATTCTTAAAACGTTGGCTTTGTTTGTCTGTCCTATTCAGTTTCATACCTTTGTCTTGGAAGCCAACAGTTAGTAGGACATAATATTTTTACAAGTCTCACTTAAAATTGAGTATTTTTCCTTCAAACTCCAGCTCAAGCTTCGGTCTCAATTTCTTGACTCTCCAGCACTACAGCAAGATTGTCCTTATCATTTCACATTGAGAGTTTGCTTATAGTGAGAGGGAAAGTATACAAGCAGCCACCATTCCGTTCTCATGACCCAATTCCCAAATGCAAATCCTTAGATTCTCCTAAGGTTTTTGATAAGATGTATATGAATCCCTATGGATCACAGGTAGTCCCCATCCTGTTTTTTCCACTCTATGTACATGCTGTGCTGAAACAGGCATAGCCAGATCAAATTAATAGTATTGCCAGATTTGAGGGCAGTGTGAAAAGAAAACTCTGTTCTTACAAATTGACCAATACAAAGATATTCTTCAAAACTGAACTGTCATCTCATACAACTGTTTTGAATAAGTTTACTAATCTCCAAATTTCAACTGTAGTAAATGGTGGACAAAAAAAAATGTAAGCAGAGGTTGTAACTTCGTTTCAGCTAAAATGAAAGCTTAGAAAGAAACTGGATGTTTTTTGAAAGGAAAGAGCTACTTTATGGATCCTTTATGAAAACACAGCAGAAAGTGCAAGAATTGATAGTGTGAGCAGGTCATTAATAAAGAACTGGATTAAAAATTATGGTGATAGCGACAAGACCTTTGTTTTAATGTGATGGTGGGGAAAAGGTGTCCGTTAAAGCAGAGGTCTTAAATTTGGGATTTTGCACATGACCTTTTATGCATTTTATATGTAATAAATTAGGAGTAGGATTGTATCTATGTGCAGTGGCACATAAATTTTGTCTACTGAATCCAAAATGTTAAAGGTCCATTAAGAATTTTACTATGGTAGTTTGAGGAAAAAAGAATTAAGAATAAGCAGCTGAATAGATAGGCAAGGACTGCAGTTTGAACCAGGGGAATAGAATAAAGGTGAGTGTTTGAGTACTGCACAGTAAGCAACAATGCAAAAAAAGTGAAGTAGAGCAATAAACAGAAAATAAGGCCAAGTTCCACATTTTGTGGATAGTTCAGATGATAATTTCAGCTATTTGATTCAGAATATGTCTATGTAACATTTCATTGATAAAATCTAATGGAAGAAAAATGCAACCACTGGAGCAGGAGGCCAATGCCACATTAGGGTGTGAAGTTGTGAAGGTAGTCTTCAAACATCCAGATAACCACAATATTTTTTACTTCTTTATTTTTATCACATTTAGGTAGTGTTTATTTTAAAAAAATCCTTACCCTGTCACAATCAAAGCGATTCTTGGTGGCTTACAATATATAGAAAACAAGGATTAAAACTTTCAAGATCAGGTTAAAACCAATCTGAAGTTGACAAGAACTTTGGATTCCAACAGCATTTGGAAAGTCTTGGTTCTTCACTCCTACAGTTTGAAGAAAGAATGGGCACCTATAGGTTCATGCTGCCATCTAAATCTTAACATGATTGTCTTACTTTGATTTCTGATAATCTAGTCAGCATTATCTGTATGCCATGATTTATAGTCAGTGGGTAGCTTGGTCCCTCCATCATATGTAGCTTCCTAAAACCTTATTTTGCTTTCCCCACTGCTGAGATTCAATTTACATCATTTTGAGATTAGCAGCCCAAACACCAGTGTATTTGTGGAGTACGTTTAACACAACTTTTAAATATCTACCCACCAAAGAAATACATTTTAGCACATTAAGTTGTCCTTCCGCCCCTTGCAGCCAAGTACTGTCAAATAAAACTTGTTTAGTTTTAGTCTCTACACTCTAGCCTAGTACTGTATGTTACAATCTGTGTCAATGGTTTGGAAAACCATGGTTATCTTTCATTAAATGTGAGCCCCACCAACTGTGATTAATTCAGTAAAACAATTAAGCAAACCATGGCTTAGCATGTGTGAACCAAGTCTGCAAACTAATACCATATATTAGGTTTAACAGGGGAAAAAATTTCAATTATGTAAATGTCAGTTATGAGATTAACAAGTTACTGATGTGTTTTGGTATATTACTGCTCCGTTGCTCCTTGATAACTAGCTCTGAATATGTCTACCCCAAGGACAGACAGGTCAGGTTTCTCACAGTTTCCTGGGAAATTGTCAATTTCATAATAGTCAATGGCATGATAAATGCTTGGTCCCTTGTGTTTAATCCATCTATTTGAAAGCTTGGATCTCTCATACTTCATCCTTAAAAAAAAGAAAAGGAAATTGCAGGTAGAAAAACAACACTCTGAAAATGCATTCACTTGCCAACCTCAACTTCTTACCGTCTGGTTGAAGCTTGTGAGTAAAGCCTCTTGTTAATTTCTTCTTCAATGTCCTCATCAGTAACAGTAATTTGTGAGGAGTGTGGGTTACAGGTAGTCTTCTGGTGAAAGTATAAAGACAGCTGATGATAGCATTGTCATAGCAATCAGAATTGCTGCTATCATAACATGCATTAAAGAGCTCTTGAAAAACTGTTCAGCAAATTATGTCAGATGGCAAAAGACTAAAACAAGGATAGAAAACATTCTAATTTTCTAATGGCTATATAGTTATACTGATCCCTAGGTTCTATTTATATACATAGTTACAAAAATATGCACAGGTAGTTGTTTCAGCAGGATACTCGTGGTATCTTATCAGGATTAGTTTCTTGTCCTCACAGGAGAATTTGTGTATTATTTCTCATATGCTGCTGAAAGGTTACATTTAACACCTGTTGAATATATAGGTAATCCTCAACTTACAACCACAATTGATCCCAAAATTTCTGTCGCTAAGTGAGACAGTTAATTGAATTCTGCCCCATTTTATGACCTTTCTTGTCACACTGCAGTTGTTAAGTTAGTAACATAGTTGTTAAGTGAATCTGGCTTCCCCATTGACGTTGCTTGCCAGGTTGCAAAAGTTGATCACATGACCCCAGGACAGTGCAACCATCATAAATATGAACCAGTTGCCAAACATCCGAATTTTGATCATGTGACCATGAGGATACTGCAACGGTCATGTGCCATTGTAATTTTAAATTGTCACCTAATGAACTGTTGTAAGTCCAGGGCTATATGTAGATGATTGAATGATTGTGAGTTTTATTATTGGTTTCAAGCAATAATTATTATTGGTTTCAAGCAATAATTATTATTGGTTTCAAGCAATAATTAACTTCAAGCATGACTCCATCGCTGACTATAGGGGGCGAAATTCTGGCCCCCTCAGAGAGGGTGCGCAATCTGGGGGTCCTCCTGGATTCGCGGCTGACGCTGGAAGACCAGTTGTCGGCCGTGACCAGGGGGGCGTTTTATCAGGTACGCCTGATCCACCAGTTGCGGCCTTTTCTGGACCGGGACGCCCTGCGCACAGTCACTCATGCNGGCTGGCGACCCCCAGGGGGAGGGCCTTCTCGGTGGGAGCCCCCACCCTCTGGAACGAACTACCCCCAGAGATCCGGGTGATCCCGGATCTCCCCTCCTTCCGCCGCGCCCTAAAGACATGGCTTTTTCAACAAGCGGGTCTGGCCTAGGGAATTTTAGTGGGGTTTTTAAGGGTATTTTAAAGGTTAATTTTAACGATCGGCCGCTTCAAATATTTTCTTTTAATTTGGTTTTAATGGATATTTATTGTATTGTGGTTTTACAAGGCTGTTAGCCGCCCTGAGTCCGGTGAGGAGAAGGGCGGGGTACAAATTAAATTATTATTATTATTATTATTATTAATCATTTATCTTATTAAGAACTGGAAGAAACATTGCTATTATTCCCAAACTGGCTTCTTTCAACATACACTATAAGGTTTTACTAGAAATCGAAACTTGAAATTGAAGTTGAACTCAATCTAATAATAAATCCTATAGGTCTACCTAAACAAGTAGGTTTCATATTGAGGGAGAAATACTGGTATCCCAGCCCTGTAAGCGTGAAGTAGACACTAGAGTAAGAGGCATATTGTTAGGAAGGACACAAAGGAGTGAATTTAAGAACCAAATAAATTACAAATTGATCTGGTTATTTTGTGACAGGAAGTCTGCCACACTGACCATACTCCATCCCAATATAGTTTAAACTTTTTCTGCAAGCTGCACCAAAACCCAGTCTGAGTAAGCTTATAGTTAACATAATAAAACCTTGGAAGGGTTTTTATTCTCATCTTGACTGATGATCTGCATGTCAGAGGAAGTGTCTTCCAGCATCGGATATACAGGCATACTCTGTGGATCTATCAAAATCTCATAAGGGACCATGGGATGTTTCCAGGAGGATGTGTTAAAAATTTCCCAAGGTTCTTCCTGGCCAAAGGTTCCTATGAAGGGAAGAAGGAAATGCTGAAGCTAGCAAATATGAAGAATCTGAAACCAGACAAGACTTAGTAAAACAGAGGATAGATGTCTTCAAAATACAATGCTGAGAAAGGAACAAAAAAAGTTAATTATCCATTAGTGGGAGAAAGAGATGCAGGATAAAAAAAAAACCTGGAAGCTAATATACAAATAAAGTTAGATTCACAGATACTTTACCATTATAAGAATTTCTTTACCATCATTAAGAGCTCCATTACATCTTATATTATACTAAATTTTATCTTATATTGTGAATCATTCTCATTTATCTGATAAAACTCTTACATGATGATTTATTTAAAGTGCCACAAAGTCAGGCAATAAAATTGTGTCATGGTATTCCATTGCATTATAATGATACAGAAAGATATATATTTTAAGTCAATTCTGTTATTACAACTATCCAATTTCTCTTCTTCTAAATGTTTACTAACATTTAAGGTATCTCATTATCGTCATGCTTTACAAACATATTGATTTACCAATGTACTCTCCATTCAGACTCCACAAACGAATTGTACAATCAATAGAACAGGATAAAAGGATATTATCTTCATCTATAACTTCTAACCTGTGGATTGAAAGAAAATAATCAGACCTACTATATAAGCACAAATTTTTCTTTTGTAATGGTTAAAACCATACTTACGTTAGAACCAGACCTAAATGAGCTCGCCAATGGTTCACATCTGAAGCAACAAAAAAGAAAAGTATCAGTTTATTCATGGACTGTTCAGAATTATATTAATAGAGAAAAATACTATAGTATAAATATTAAAGTCTTACATTTAAACATAAAATATTTGAGACCTTAGGATTGTAGTCTCTGAAAATATCTGAGTCCAGGATTGGAGCACGAGGTTATAGGGCAATGGTGGTGAACCTATGGCACGCGTGCCACAGGCGGCACTCAGAGCCCTCTCTGTGGGCACGCATGCCTTTGCTCCAGCCCTGCCTCCCCCCATGGCCCCCTCCTCACCGGCAGCCCCCCCGGAGAGTCGCCCTCGGGTACAGCCTGCACAGAGCAGCGCAGCCAAGGACATGGCAGCTGGGTAGCGGGGACAAGACTCTGCCTTGCGCTCCGTCATGAGCAGATGATGCTGCAGGGTGCAGGTGGAGGGCCACCATGACGCTGCTGGATCGCCTGGGCAATCTGTTGCGGCGGGCCGTGGAGGCAGGTGGCCCTGCAGGCAGGCGGGGCACGGGGTGGCGGGCAGCGCGGGGACGGGGTAGTTTTAGGGCACTCGGTCTCTAAAAGGTTTGCCATCACTGTTATAGGGGGAATGTAATTTTGAAATACCTTGCTCTGCTCCTGTTAAAACTTCCATAGTCTATACTCACTAGCATTCAGAACAGGGGGGGGGGGGGAAATCAATGGAAATTTTGTGGGCTCCAATATTCTTCCGGTCTGTATAACACCCACTTTATTTTGCCCCCATCAACACCTACCATACAAAGTTTACTTCAGGCTTGGAGCTGACATAAAAATAATTCCATAACAAAGACTGAAAGAAAATAAACCAACTCTTTTTTCCTGTGTTTTAGCTTTCAGAGAGATTCCAAATTCAGATCTCTTCAAAATACAGGTAGTATTGTCTTCTTTATCTTCTAAAATAAAAAAGACTAGGTTTCTTTTCTATGGGAACATGCATAATTTACACAAAGCATGACTTGAGCAACATATGCCCTATTAAGAAACAACTGAGTTGAGTAATGATTATAGGAGGGTGTCATGCAGAGTCAGAGTAATATGTAGAGCCCATTTTTGAAAGAGAGGCCACAGGGCAGAATGGTCACTTAAACACTCCCACCCAAACTTGCCTTTTATAGTTTTTATAAATATAATATTTTATCTGTCATTTTTTCTATTGCAATTATTAAATAGGAGTATTGTATATAGAAATAATCAAAGCTCTCGATTTTACATTTTAAGTGATTATTTCACCAGCCTTTTCTGAAGAATATTGCCTGTTTAAACCATACAGTGTAGGAATACCACTGTGTGAGTGGTATCTGGACCAATTCACCTTTTTAAAAAATAATGCACTCTGTATTTATCTTTTTAAATTAATTCTTCCAGTTCTAGATAAAAAGCTGTACACGTACATTTTGGTGTTTCTTCTTTTGTATCCTGAAGGGCATAATTTTGGATGTCATGGACATACACATAACCATCTTCATCAGCTGCATATATATATGAATCATCTGCAGTCACAGCAATGCTACTGATCAGGGATTTTCCCCTAGACTGGAGTATACAGTGGTACACTGTAAAATATTGTTTACACACTATTTTGAAAACTGCATGACTATACAGTATAAGGAGAGGTATACATTCCAAAGAATGAGATTCTGATTTGCATGTGAAACCAGGAATTTCTCATCAGCTATCATCCGCTCACATTAAATTTCAAAGGGACTGAATTCTTTAAGCAACTCCAATAACATCCATATTGTAGTGTCTATCTCCGGTTTATACCACAAGGCAATCTTGTACTTTAACAGAATGCAATGTAAAGAATGAGTACTTCGTGCGATGATGATCTCAAGCTGCAATCAGTGAAATAAAGGACTGCAAATTAGAGAATGTTTTTGATATATTTCAGATGCTACCAGTATTCATGCTGAAGATCTGATTATGATTTGTCACACTATCAGCCAGATATTTACACTGGAATTAGTATATTATTATGATTATGATTATTGCCTTCAAGTCAGCCTTGACTCCTGGCAACTGTCTAGACAAGTCCCTGCAGTTTTTGCGAAAGATTTTTGGAAAGATGTTGGCATTGGGTTCTTCCTAGGGCTAAGAGAAAGTGACTGGCCCAAGGTTAGTTAATCTAGAACTCCTAGTCTCCCAGTTTCTAGTTTTAATCTCTATAGCAAACTGGCTTTCTTTCTAATTCTTACAGCCATTAATTTTACTGATTAAACTTACTGGTTGAAAACTTGCTATTAGTGGATCCTCTGAAAACAGGCTCCAGAAATGCAGATAACCTGGGGGGGAAAATCATAAAGACACAAGATGAAATATTTGGTAGCATTTAGACAAGCATACCTTTGTACTAACTGTAACTGAATAACCTGAAGGCAAATTTATAAAAACCACAGTAAGTGTAGATTTGACTATATAAAGCTTAAGATTGCTAGGTCCCTCTCTACAACTTCTAATCTCATTATTTTATTTTTCCATGTTTTTGGCATGATTGATAATGGTGTGACAACTGGAAACAAGGTTCCTGACACCAAAGTATCATTTCCTTATCTAGTCTGTAAAAACTTAAGCAAAAAAAAATATTGAAATAGAATTTATCTTCAAATTGGAGTCATCAATTAATTATTACCATGGTTGTTTTGTTAATTATTTATATCATTCATTAATCCTACCTGATGGCCCATTGGAAACCAGTGATGCAGTAGTTGAATCAAATTTCACAGCACGAGTCTTTAGAAAAATTATCCGTGTCACACCAACTGGTGGCGAAGGAAAAAAATATATAATCACTGTAAGGAAATGTGAGTTTTTCAGTACACTGTACAAAAGGCATAGCCCAACTGCATTCATCCTAATATGTTATTATGAAATTTGTTTGGCTTGACTTTGCATCCAGACATTTATAGTTTGCCAATTAAGCCATAATTAAACTAACCAAGGCTTAGCACAATATGTGAATGCAGTCAAATATCTATATTATTAAAGTTAAAATTTAATTTCTATGACTAAATTCTCAACCTCTTTTACCATAAGTAAATAAAATGCCCTCTGCTCTGGGAATGTTATATACCTTTTAAGACTACATTTGTAAATGTATATATCTGCTACAAATACACTTAATTTAATTTTATCTGAATTTATATTTGGAGGAGACTTTTTTTGGATCAAACTTTTTAGAGAGGTTCATCGCTTTAATCTGCAAGTTTTAGCCCCCCCCACCTTGATCTATTGCCTGCTATTTTGATAGTGAATTTGACCTACCCTTCTTAATTGTGTAAGCCATGCCCTAAGATCGTGCTACAACAGATAAAACCTCATCTGAATGAAATAAAGGAATAGAGAACTTATTTCCAAGTTCTTATTTCAAAGATGTAAGCTCTAGACCAAGTTCCAGCAGAAATCTATTTCTAATGTTAGTCAAAAGAGCTGTGTTGAACACATAACTGAGATACATTAATTAAACAGTTTTAGGGCTTACACCAAATAGAAGATCATTTCCTGCCCACCCATCTGGAAATCAGGAGGTGACATATATATTAAAATAACATCAACAAAATTAATGGGCTTACTTAATTCTTCCTAGTGTGGTAAGGCATTGAGTTTTAACTATCTCAAGGCTACTCAACATGGGTTAGGCTTCAAGTGTGAATTTTCCCCTTATTTTCCATTTCTATGCAATTTCATATACAATGATTCATAAAGAATTATTCATGGCAATGTAAGAATTATATTCTGCAGTCTTTTTTGATTAGTGAACTTACTTTGAGAATGAACAGAGGCAGTTGTGGTTATTGGAATGCAGAATCTATGGTCTATGTGACCTGAGAACATATTCCAAACAATAATTTCACCATCATAACTGGATGTTGCAAGGAGATTAGGGGGACACTGAGCAACACAGAGAATGTCTTCTTTGTGTCCCCAGTTCTGGATAAGGAAAAAAAATAAGAATTTTTTTTTAAAAAAAAGTGAACAAAACTGCTTCGAGTTCTTTCTGTTTTGGTTTTGACTGTATCTTACACAATATACAAACCAATAGGTAGGTGAAATTACACAATTCAATATAACTTCATGAGTATAAGTATAAACTCTCATGAGTTGCAAAGTCTACAACTTTCAGCATGACCACTACATATACCCTGGAAATAAATCTACTTTATAAAATAAAGGCTGACTTTTGTGGGGGGGAAATAAGCCTATACTTTTGGATACTGCCATGTTCATTCAATTATGGATGGTCTCAGTCATACTGATCACAAGGAAGCACTATGTAACTAATTTTATCCTATTGGAACTCATCAGAAAAAGAGGGTTTGAACCCTGTGGAGTAACATCTGATTACCCACATCTGATGAGTCAAGAAGACAAATTGGTCGTGTGATGTTTCCAGGATTTACAGATCATCCAGGTGGAAAGCTTCAACTTGTTGTAGGGCTCATCTAATTCACCAGAATAATGCTTCCAATCCACAATGTATGGATGAAGGTCCCTCCCTGTCTCTGATTTATTTATGCTTTGTCCTTTTAGGCAGAAAGGTGGTATGTGAATTTATCTGGAACTAGCCCATGTGATCTATTCCTAGGGAAAGTACAAAGTAGGTCCTTCAAGTTTATCCAGCAGTGCCAATCCACAAGGATGGTTTGGATCAGAGATTTATCTCCACTCTTACATTATCCAGCTCCCCAAAGGTAATAAAACTGCTTATGCCAAACTGCTTATATAGCACTTTATATGCCAAACATTTCTTACTATGTCATCCTGCCAGTGGAGTTGCGGTTTCCTGATATGATAGAAATCATCGGTGGAATCCTATAACAGAAAATATCCAAAGAAAATGATATCCAAGATAATAGCAATAACTATTAAATAATAGTGATAGCACTTAGACTTATATACTGCTTCACAGCGCTTTACTGTCCTCTCTAGACAGTTTACAAAGTCAGCATATTGCCCCCAACAATCTGGGTCCTCATTTTACTGACCTTGAAAGGATGGAAGGCTGAGTTAACCTTGAGCCTGTGAGAATCAAACTGCCAAACTGTTGGCAGCCAGCAGTCAGCAGAAGTAGCCTGCAATACTACATTCTAACTACTGCGCCACCAAGGCTCAATGGTTACTCTAATCAAAAGGCTAATCATTTATAATTAATCTCCAACATGAACTTTGCATTTCCAGACATATAAAAGTAAAATTTAGCTCTAATTCTATTATTCCCTTGAAGTTACCCAAATCTGACTTGCCTATTTCTCACCTGAGTTGTGCATTCAATAAGTTACCAGCATTTGTTCCTATGAGATTATTGTGGCTTTCCTTGATGCTTGTACTGTAGTCCACCCTTCCGCTGAAACCTTACCATTTTATTTTACACTTTTTCCTAAGCAGTTATTCAATTCTAACATCAAACTGAAGTTAATGTGTTTCAGTCATTCAAAGATTCCCAGCACATTTACAAATTAGTTACAAAGTCCCAGAAACTTGGACAGAGCAGAACTAAATCTTTATTGTAATATTTGAAGAGTAGCCATAGTCTCTGGGTGTAAGAAACCAGCCTAGAATTTATACTCAGTCCTACTGCATCCTTGTTTCTTGCTCCACCACATATACAGTAGAGAGAATTCTTGACTTTCATCCTCTTGTGCCTCACAAGCACATCTGTTGAATGTAATGCATTCATACACTTCTGTCCACTTAACCTGTGATTCTCTTGCCATTAACAGGGCCCGACAAGTGATAGCTGCCTCCTCAAGCACTTTGCCAAGAAAACAGAGCCTGGGGGGGGGTGTGCGCATCCCTCCAGGCCTCTGCTCTCATCGGCAGAGGCCTTTGCTGATGAGAAAGTAGGCCTGGAGGGATACACGTGCCCCTCCTGGCCTCTGTTCTCATTAGCAAAGAGTTTTTCCAAATATGGCAAAAGGCTTTGCAAATGGAGGGAAGGCTTTGGTGCTTCAGGCCTTCCCTCCATTTGCAAAGTCTTTTGCTGCAGATCTTGTCCAGGCCTCCATTTGCAGACCACAGAGACCTAAAGTATTGTGAGGTCAGGCAAAATCAGTAGCGTGAAATCTCGTGCTTCTGATCTTGTGTGATCTTGCAGTACTTTAGACCTCCATTCTCTGCAAATGCACCTGAAGCATCGAACAGGCCAAGAAACGGAGGCTCCCTGGATCTTCACAAAGTGAATATCCACAGGCCTAGTGCCTGTAGAGACCCCAGAGGGTGGGGGGGGGGATAGGCAGGGCAAATGTTGCAGAGCCTCTGTGGTCATTCGTAAGTGTGAATGACTGCTGTGGTGCTGCAATGTTCATCATTTCGGGACTGTGTTATAAGTACTTGGGGGGTTAGGTTGTAACTTCGAACGGTCGCTAAGTGAACTGTCGGGGATTACCTGTATAATCACTAGGAATGAAACTCAAATTTTGGGAAATGTGTATAAACATATACACACACAAACATATCAATCCATCCATCTGCTTTCATTTTGTGTACAAAGTAGAACAGAGTTCTGTTATGAAAGGGCCTTCTCATTGCTGTATGTGGATTGACCAATGTGAAGGATAAGTGGTATTTGCCCATAGATTCAGGTAATAGCTAACAGAATTCTCAGATTTCCTTGCTGAGCTATTCTTGAATTTACTACTGGCAATGTAGAGCCCCTATAGTGAAAGCAGAACACCAGCTTTTGGGGACCATGATTAATTAAGTAATGCAATTTTGGCCATTTAGTCATGGACTAATAGAGCCAGTTCTCAGTGAAAAACAAAATGTTCTCACCAAAAAGCCACTATTTATGTTCGAGGGTACTTTGGCATAACAATTTCAACAATTAACAGTGATAACATTTTTTTGTATGCAAAGTTGTTACTTACATAAAACAAATTTATTCTTCTGTCCCATCCCACACCTATGATATACCTGCAAAAGCAATTAATGTTTACCAAAATTTGAATGATATATTCTTTCTGTTATGCAGCAGCAATTAGTAGTCAAGCTGCTAGGGCCACCTATATTGCACTAACCCTCTCATATAAATTCTGTTATTAAACTGCCAGGGAATTGAATTATCTATTGTTCATTTTTTTAGATATAGGTGCAGTCATCCCTAATTTTTCAAGGAGTTCACTCACTTTCAGTTGAGCTGAGCTAAAAAGGGTTTTTCTCCAGTTCAAACTGTAGCCATCACACTGCAGAGAGTGGAGCTTGTATTTTGAGCAGTATAACACTCTCAACACTTTCATTCATTCTTCATTTTTGTAAAAGGTTTCATTTTATTAGAATTCTTCAAGTTTTAAAAATCAGGTATTCATCTTAATTCTGCAACTCTCTTTTCAATATATATCAGCTTCTGAACGATCATTGCAGTTAATTCTTTTAATGGGATTTTATATGTAGGAAACAGTTCCTTCTTGCCATTAGGTTTTACATGCTTATTTCTGCATATGTAACTGCTAAAGACACAAGCAAGCCAAGCTATTTATTCCCCTCTCCAGTACTACTCTCTATCCTTGAATGTAATAAAATACCTCAACAATTAAGGGGATCCCCGTAACTCAGTGACAGAGCATAAGATTGTATATTAAAGTCTCTAGGTTTAATCCCTGGCATCTGAAATGAAAAAAGCAGCTTTCTTTCTATCAAATACTGTAGATAGCTTGGTTTTCTTTTGATTTTCTCTGTTGAATTTACAGCATGATATTAGGCTCATGAGCTTCCAGAACTCAGACACTGGATATGCTAGTATGCACCTGTATCTCCTCAGGTGCTCTCTTTTCTTTTATTTGCTCTGGTGCAGGCTGGGACTTAGACAGGTCAAGATCTTCAGTTTTTGCACCTGAAGACTCAGACAGGTCCCTAACATGGGGGAAGTGTATGAGATCTTTCCTATGGCATCTGCCAAAACAACCTGATGGCTTGAAGATTATTTTCTTAGGAAGAGGCCTGTTTATATGAACCTGCCCCACAAGAAAACCCACATGTTTTTCATTAGCCTTTACTGCACTAAAATGTCACACTTTATGACAAATGTGGATAACTTACTCATTTTTATTGATCTCCACATAAGCACAGTCACGAACTTCATCACATCTGTCTTCTGTACAGAAGAAAAAGCCATCGACTTAATTTTTTTCCCCTCTTCTTGAAATGAATGTTTAGATAATCCAGTCAACATTCTGCTTACCCTTTTTCAAAGTGTGAAGACACTGTCCATTATTATAATTCCATATTTTCAAGCAGCCATCTTTTCCTCCAGTAATGAGTCTGGAACATGATTGCAGTGCCTAATTATTTCTTTCGCAATTTGTGAAAAATATCACAACCCTTCTTACACACTGAAACTCTCAAAATGTACCTTCTTCCACTGAAATCAAATGTGAGGCATGTAATTGCAGAATTACCATGAGCATTACCAAATTCAAATACAGGCTTTCCACTTTCGAAATCCCACACCTTGACCACCTTAAAAGAAGAAAAAAGAGACATATATAGAAACACTATTGCCACGATCCTAAAACATGTATCTTACAGAGAAATCTATTCCATAAGCTGCTCTGCCAGTAGATTTTTGAATGCAATTCAAAGTGCTGGTTGTCACCTATAAAACCCCTCATGGTGTAGGATCTAGTCATCTAAGAACAGCCTATCCAGTGGTGAGATTCAACCAGTTTGCACCACTTCAGCAGAACCGGTAGCTATTTTTTTGTTGCCCAGGCCCAGAATGGACTTCCAGAAGTGCCATCCATACAGAGAACCGGTTGTTCACATATTTGAATCCCACCACTGAGCCTATCCCTCATCTTTTCTTTCCACCCCATACAATCTGACAGAGTTGGCATGCTCCAAGTCTCATAGATTAAACTGTCATCTTGTAGGACCCAGGAAGTGGGGCTTCTTTAATGAAGAGCAGAGGGACAGGATACTTCTGCTTACACATTATTTTCTTCTGAATTATGTTTGAAGCCCACATAGCTCCAGCAAACAGATCCTTTTTCTTTGGCAACAACCAAGGTCAAATGTATGTAAAAACATGTATAGTTGCCTTATAGAGTGTATTTAAAGCAATGTTTCTCAATCTCTGCAAATTTAATAAAAATGGACTTCAACATGGTGCCTATTCCACACTATTTGTCACATTTATACAACCTCACCTCTCTCACACAAAATGACTCTTAAAGTTGCTGAGGTTGAAAAACACTGATTTATTACACACAATAAGTGAATGCTTTTGGAAGCAGATGAATGAGATTTTGTTTTGATTTAAGTACTTATTTAAAAGCATTTGCTTATGATCCTGAAGAGTAACTAGAGATAACTGCATTCTCCGTTAATATGTAAAATATTAACGTATGTAAACCATTTTTACCATGCCTTTTGGCAAGGGATTCCAGTTTTGAGAAGGCTCAATCTTGAATCACAACTCACTTCATATCTAAAACAAAGAAACTCAGAATTCTGAGGATTGTAAATATATTGATTATATAACTATGGTCAAAACTGAAGAGAATTTTATGATTATTTCACTTACAGAATCTTCAGAGCAGCTCACAACATGCCTGAATACTTTGTTGAATTTGCAGCACAAAACTGGTTTTTTATGGGAAGTTACTATATAAGGATCTGGAACTGATCTACTTTAGAGACAACAACAAGAAAATCAAATAAATAAATTACATTAGCAAAATATACATAGCTTAAATAGCAAAATAAAGGCACTATTCTATAATTAAAGGGAAAAGCTACCAGTTCAGTACATCAAACCTGTACAAATCAGTAGCAGTCCCAACTATTCAAAAATCTATCTTCCAAAGTCCAATTTTTAATCATCCTTTTTCTGAATAACTGTCCAAACAAATTTATTAATATACTAATCTTAAGTATATTTTATTGAATTTAGTATCTCTAAATAAAGTTGTTGTCTGTGTGTACACTGAGAGCGTATGCACCAAAGACAAAATCCTTGTGTGTCCAAACACACTTGGCCAATAAAGAATTCTATTCTATTCTATTCTATTCTATTCTATTCTATTCTATTCTATTCTATTCTATTCTATTCTATTCTATTAATTATTCTTCAATCATAGTGACAAGATAAAATGTCCCTTTATGTCTCTATAAAATTAACAAAATAGTAGATAGTGAAATCTGCATTTCTCTATATCCACCAAAATAGACGCATGCCCCTGTCTTGCCTTCTGTATCACTCTTCTAAAACTGCAGATGAAAATAGGACACTTAAAACTTTGCTATATTTAAGAATTATCAAATCACATAGATAATTCATTTTTTTTTGAAATTTCAGGAACCAAACATAAATATAACATCTAGCCATTGTAAAATTATTTTTATAATCAATATGTAAAAACGTAAAGGTTTCCCCTGTCCAGTTGTGCCTGACTCAGTGGTGCTCATCTCCATTTCTTAGCCGAGGGAGCCAGCGTTGTCTGAAGACATTTCAGTGGTCATATGGCCAGCATGTCTATACGCCAATGCACATGGAATGCTATTATTTTCCCACTGAAGTGGTACCTATTAATCTACTCACATTTGCATGCTTTCGATCTGTTAAATGGGCAGGAGCTGGAGCAAGGAACAGGAGTTGCACGGCACTCAGATCTCAAACCCAGACTGTCATCTTTCCAGCTGACAAGCTCAGCATCCTTAACCCCTAGGTCATTGTGCCCCCCTTTTTTAATATGTAGTATTTTTTATTTTTAGATAACACACTATTCTCTTTGCCTGGCTAAGCTGCTGGATTGCTTTCAGTAATCACTTTTGAATACATACAGATGTACTTAGTTGGGAAAATATCACAAGAAAGTGCTATCCCATGACTTTTTCCAGAACTCTTATTATTATTTTCTGGCCTTTAAAAACTATAGGTATTATAGAGTAGTGAATTGAAAATGTAGAAATTTAATTTAATAATAATAATAATAATAATAATAATAATAATAATAATAATAATAATAATAATAATAATAGTAAAGTTGGAAGGGACCTTGAAGGTCATCTAGTCCAACCCCCTGCTCAGGCAGGAAACCCTATACCATTTCGGACAAATGGCTGTCCAGTCTCTTCTTATTTGATTTTTTTCAAACAATGACAGTCACCTGCAGATTATCTAAACTAACTCATTGCACTCATTCCACTGGGCATTCACCTATACCCCTTTCAATTCAGTCCCACTGGCAATTTTACAGAGTAAATGGGATAACATTACAGTTCCCCAAATTTATCCCTGTGTGAAACAGAGGACAGCAAGTTGACGGATCATATTCTCTTATATCGTAAGTTTTATTCTGACATAAACTGACAAACAGAACCCTAAAATAAACATTTATATAGCTTGTTGGCTATTATTTGGCCCACAAGTATTCAGCAAACCTGGATGAACTATATCATATTGTTAAAGTCTTAATTTTGACTTGCTTTATTCATTTCTACTAATTGTATTTTGATTATATTTTGATTTAAGACTATAATAACACATATTTGAATGTGTAATCTTTTACACTTATTGTAATTTACTTTCATTTATTGAGGCTAATTCTTCATTCAGTAGAATTGAATTGAAATTATGTTTTTCTCTGAATGAATCTGAAATTATAAAGAAAATAAAATCTTTTAAGTTTAAACAAAGCTTTTGAAGTAGAAATTAGTAACTAAAAGCTAGTAACTAAAAGCTATTTCAGGTTTAATTAATGTCATTCCTGTATCTAAACATAAAACTTCATTAGATAAACAATTTGGTACCCCGAAAGTGCCTGCATATATTTGGGCATCACTTTTTCTCTGTGGTTCCTAACTCTCCTGTATTTGTTTAATATGTGCACATATGTTAATTAAAGATTATGAATATCAGTTCCTCTAGGCCTGATTCAGCATTGCAATACAATACTGGAAATTTAGAGATTACCTATCCCGAAAGAGAAAGTAACGCCATAATGACATGCTCTAGTAATGAAAATGTCCGTGTCTCAGGATTTTATATGATGTTTTGTAGTTTATAAGAAGGCTGATAAATATTGGAAAATACTTCAGTTAATACTTATATATTGGGACAACTAATACTTTCCCTAGCATTAATCAGCAAAAACTTAAGTTATGAGTTTAATAGATTCCAACAAGCTAATCTAAAAATCACATTGGTAATTATTTGAAATTAAATGTTCATCTAGATTTTACAAAATGTTATATCCTTGTAATATGTTATATCCTAATAAATGCCACAATATTTCAAGTATTCTCTTGTTGCTACATTCTAGTCCCAACATAATAATCACACTATTTCCAAAACCCTAGAATTTTTTCAGTAATTTCTTACATTTTGGGTTTTTCATAAATGCAATTCTTAGATGTCTATCTAAATATCAGGAGCTCTGATTATGATGCTTTGTATTTTACCGTAATCTTAGGTGAAGAATGGCCAGTGTATCTGTGGCAACACAGAGTGATCGAATGCCTGATATATAATGGCAAGTAGTAATCTCTCCTTTAATTCCATTGTTTTTTGAACAAGCAGTGAATAAGCAAGTCTGATCCTCCATATCCCATATCTGCAAGGAAAAATGGGTTATACTAAAGAGCAAGAATTAGAGTAAAGGAAATATAATTTGAAATATGAAAAAGACAGACCTTAACTGTGTTGTCTGTTGATATGGAAAATATTTTATCCTCCTCAGATACGTAGACATAGAAAATGGGGGCCATGTGACTTTTGAGCATGCCTGTGGGTCTTCTAAAATTCAGTGAGAACATTAAATCTTGACCAATTTGAAACACATAATGAACTATATATTAAAATGAGCCAGTAATAATTATAGTTTATTTATTTGGTGTTTCAAGCCATTCTTGACTCCTGGCAACTAGCTGGAAAACATGGCCATAAACATAGATTTACAAGTAGCAGTATATACGACAAAAATAATTTCAATTGACTCAGTTTTGAATTATATTTGCAAAAATATTATTAATTTGTGGGTTGGTTGGAAAAATGCAAAACAATCACTCTTCAAAGACCAAGAGGTCTGTGAAATGTATTACTAGGAAAGCTGCCTTAAGGTAATGCTTTTTAAGATTTCATGAAGGGGCAGCTATATTTCAATGGTCCCAAAAGACAAATCAGTGGTGGATGATAGTGGCATATCTTTCTATTCTTCACAGTCAAGGAAGGAGAAAGTAAAGCTAAGAAATTCTTAGTAGGAGAGTGTCATGAGTGAAAATGGAAAAGGTAATGGAGAGCTGAATTTGTTCTCTACAACAAATCCTATTTTGCCACAAACTCTTTTAGAAATCTAATGCAAATCTAAAAAATAATGAATAAATAATATTAAAAACCCTTGGATTTATTTATATCTTTGATAATGACAAGAAAAATATTATCATCTCCTTCCATAACAATGATAAGGATCTCTTAAACGGGTATTAAACTAACTGTGAAGTAGGAATTCATATGTTCTACATTTTTCTTTAAAAATCACACTAATTAATGCATACATATCCTAAATAAAAATAGAACCTTATGCATTTAAAGTAACTAATAGTTGGCTAAGGACTATAATAGAGCTATAGAAGAATAGTTGCAATATCTTACCCAGGCATGTATGGATTCCATATTCGAATAATTCGATCCATTCCACCAGTTACTATGGCATTGTTCTTTTTACTAACTGCAAATGTTTTGACTCCTTTATGAATCCGAAAAATAATCTGATCCCCTTCAGCTCTCTGGGAAGGAGTTCCTAGCATTTCCTGTACTTTCTTCATCTTTGAATCTTTCTTATTTTCTTTTATTTCTCTCATTTGTTGCTCAACATTGGTAGCTCCCACAATGCAACCTGTAGAAGGATATGAGAATTCAGTGAAAGATTCCTACACAGAATTTAGGCTCCAATATTCTTATACAGAGTGAATATTCATTGATTTCTTTAAATTATGAGAACTAGTTTGATCTAGTGGTTAAGGCACCAGGCTAGGAAACCAGGAGACCATGAGTTCTAGTCCTGCCTTAGACGTGAAAGCCAGCTGGGTGACCTCGGGTCAGCCACTCTCTCTTAGCCCAATTCATCTCACAAGGTTGTTGGGGAGGAAATAGGAGGATGAAGGTGTGTTGGATATGTTTGTTGTGTTATTTGTAAAAATAAAGGCGGGATATAAATAAATTAATTAAACAAAGAATATTGGAAGTATGTCTCAATATACTAGCTAAGACTGAAAGCTTAATCTACACCGTTTCCATCTTATACATAAGTGTTATATAAAGGCCTTGATTGACAAAAGGCAAGCTCAAATTATCCTATTTTGGACCCATTACTAAAAGACCTCTCTCTCTAGAGAAGGCTTTAATGCTGGGAAAGTGAAAGGAAAGAGAAGAAGAAGCTGAACAGCAGGAACTGGTTTTGACTTGGTTACAGTGATGATGGATGCATTGGTGGAGGACTTGAAGAATCAGATCTTTATGGAGAAATCTTTTGGATAGATAGATCTTTATGGGGAGAATCTATAGGCAGAGAAAGGCAGGGCTAGATGAATCAAAAGTTGGAATTAAGATTGCCGGGAGAAATATCAACAACCTAAGATATGCAGATGATACCACTCTAATGGCAGAAAGTGAAGAGGAACTAAAGAGCCTCTTGATGCGGGTGAAAAAGGAGAGTGCAAAAGTTGGCTTGAAACTCAATATTAAGAAAACCAAAATCATGGCATCCGGCCCTCTCAATTCCTGGCAAATAGATGGGGAAGAAATGGAGGTAGTGACAGATCTTATTTTCCTGGGCTCCAAGATCACC